ATGTATATGCCTTCACTTAAAGTTACCAAATTAAACGTGAAAAGAGATTATCGTTCAATATTAATAACACTTAATTACACTTAATAACGTAATGTTTTCTTGTAATGGCAAATCTGTCAGTGCAGCTAGTCATGTTAGTTGATTGTTGATTTTCGCAGATATACATGTTTTAACAGTGATGTCCAGTGTAGATAAAATTTCTTTACTATGATACTTTCCCTCTTTAGTTTTTTATATGTTGTGTTTTTTGGACTGTTTTGTTGTCTTGTTGTATTTTCCATTGTTTGCCATGGCGTTGTCAGTTCGTCCTTGACCTCTAAGTTTAAATATTCCTTAAGTATCAGCCACCTATCTTTTACAATACGAATCTAGAATTATAAAAAAAATGAATTCATTATTGATAAAAAATATATGCAGGTTTTGGTTAATGAAATTATAACATTCTTGCTGTTCAGCTATTGTTTCTGAGCAGGCTGATATGTCGAGAGTATCAGTTATTAGCTGTGGTCGTTGATGGAATATGTTCTTTTTTGTTCTGCGGTTTGCATGTGTGTCGACTATTATATTATTTGATTGTTCGTTTCTCTGTTATGAATGTTCTTGCGTGTGTTTGTGTTGTATTTCTGTCATGTAGTGTTTTAGCGATATTTTTTAACATTGCCATAAAGCGGGATGTTTGGCATGCCGTTAAACCATGTTCAACCCACCATGTTTTCTTACAATGTCCTGTACCAAGTTAGAATATTGCAATTGTTATCAAATAGTTCATTTCTATGTGTGTTAGCGTTTGTTTTTGTTGCATTTCGGTATTCCTGTTGTTCCTTTGTTTTTCTCTTATAGTTGATGTGTTTCCCTCGTTTTTGTTTTGTAACCCGGATTTGTTTTTTTTTCAATCGATTTATGACTTTTGAACACCGGTATACTACTGTTGCCTTTATTTACAGTTTGAAACTCAACTTAAAGTTTTTGTAAGTGTTCTGATTAATACGATATAAGTTTTCAACGAGGTCCTGGTTTATTTCGCACTATTCACAACGTTGATATTCAGAAATCTACTTCAAAGTGCAACTGTGTGAGTGCATGCAGCACGGCTTCATGTAAGCAGAATCACTATATATGACTTAATTTACATTGTTCGATATTGTATCAATACTTGGTTTTCTCATTGTTTTGTGTCGTTTACTTTACGATTCCATGACATGACATATGTCAGTGGTTTTCAGTCTGCTTGTCCCCCAAAAAATCATTGATATACACATTTTTATATTCTCATTCTTGCTATAATATAATTTCATATCAATATCCAAAGTTTGATACCCAAAGATTTGAATTGTTTGTTAAGTGTTTATACTTACCGAATACTATTCGACATGCTTAACAACTCAAACATACTGGGATTGCAGAAACATGGATGAATCGTAAATTATTTTTCACAATATCCATTGCAACGCGAAATGTAGTTAGCGTTTGATTGTCCATTTGACATTGTTAACACTACTCTTCCGAAAACATTAACCAATCTTTCGGAGTTCGATACTTGGACCATTGTAAAACTATCATGGCTTAAATAAACAAGTTGATAGTTTAACCTCTGGCGACCTTTCGCTTACCCAATCAATTGCATCTTTACATAACGTGAGCAAATGTTCCTCAGGCAAACCTTGTTAAAACACTTTTCTAACCGGACGAAAAACGTCACTAACATATACATCATAAGGGGATGTCTAAATACAAAGTATGATATCTTTTTGGTTTGCTGCGTATTTGAAAATGTACTTTGCCTTATTATTTAGATATAAGAAGATGTGGTATGAGTGCCAATGAGACAACTCTCCATCAAAGTCACAACTTGTAAAAGTAAACAATTATAGGTCAAAGTACGGCCTTCAACACGGAGCCTTGGCTCACACCGAATAGCATATGTTCGTTTTTCGTGTTACGTGTGCATTTAAAGACGATTAACTTAAGTGACTTGGTGTCGTTTCGTTCTCTGTTACAGTCATATATATATATATATATTCAAGAGTCTATCCTAAATTGAGGTAAATTATATGGCCTTCCAAATACCGTTTCGATTCCTAACATCACTGAAGAGACATTAATTGTCGAAATCCGGATATGGTGTACAAAATTTTGCACCTCATGTTTGCGGTATACCATCTTTTCCGCAAGTTTAATGTTTTCTGTTTGGTAATAAATTAATAATGAGATCTATTTCGTTACGCTTGTGATCCTTTTATTTGACAATCGCCAATGGCAGTCAGCAGGGTTTACGAACATCAGTTGTTCGACCTGCTGGTCAAATGTGTTTTGGTAAAATATACTTTTCACTTTTTTGGTCTTTTGAAAATGTTGTTTGTGCTGTATTTAGACCCCTCTACCAAGAAATTTGTTTTGCATACACACGTATAAAAATTGCGATTTTTATCCAACGCAATCATAGGTTTGAACGTTGTTTTCAATTAAGACTTATATATATATATATATATATATATATATATATATAAACAAGTCTAAATTGAAAACGACGTTCAAACCTATGATTGCGTTGGATAAAAACCGCAATTTTTATACGTGTGCATGCAAAACAAATTTCTTGGTAGAGGGGTCTAAATACAGCACAAACAACATTTTCCAAAAGACCAAATAAGTGAAAAAGTATATTTTATCAAAACGCATTTGACTAACAGGTCGAACAACTGATGTTCTTAAACCCTGCTGACTGCCATTGGCGATTGCCAAAAAAACGGATCAGAAGATGTAACAAAATGGATCTTTAAAAATTTATAATCTAATACCAAACAGAAAACAATAAACTTGCGGAAAAGATGGTATACCGCAAACAAAAGGTGCAAAAATTAGTACACCATATCCGGATTTCGACAATTAATGTCTCTTCAGTGATGTTAGGGATCGAAACAGTACTTGGAAGGCCATAAAATTTACCTCAATTTCGGATAGACTCTTGAATTTTAAAGAGTCGAAATAGGATGAACGGATCATATAAACCCGAAGGAAAATATAATACAAGCCCAAACGAAAAAATATAAACAAGTCTAAATTGAAAACGACGTTCAAACCTATGATTGCGTTGGATAAAAACCGAAATTTTTATACGTGTGCATGCAAAACTAATTTCTTGGTAGAGGGGTTTAAATACAGCACAAACGACATTTTCCAAAAGACCAAATAAGTGAAAAGTATATTTTAACAAAACGCATTTGACTAACAGGTCGAACAACTGATGTGCTTAAACCCTGCTGACTGCCATTGGCGATTGCCAAAAAAACGGATCACAAGATGTAACAAAATGGATCTTTAAAAATTTATAATCTAATACCAAACAGAAAACAATAAACATTTTGTTACATCTTGTGATCCGTTTTTTTTTTGCAATCGCCAATGGCAGTCAGCAGGGTTTAAGAACATCAGTTGTTCGACCTGTTAGTCAAATGCGTTTTGTTAAAATATACTTTTTCACTTATTTGGTCTTTTGGAAAATGTTGTTTGTGCTGTATTTAGACCCTTTAAAATTCAAGAGTCTATCCGAAATTGAGGTAAATTTTATGGCCTTCCAAATACTGTTTCGATCCCTAACATCACTGTCGAAATCCGGATATGGTGTACTAATTTTTGCACCTTTTGTTTGCGGTATACCATCTTTTCCGCAAGTTTGTTGTTTTCTGTTTGGTATTAGATTATAAATTTTTAAAGATCCATTTTGTTACATCTTGTGATCCGTTTTTTTGGCAATCGCCAATGACAGTCAGCAGGGTTTAAGAACATCAGTTGTTCGACCTGATAGTCAAATGCGTTTTATTAAAATATACTCTTTCACTTATTTGGTCTTTTATATATATATATATATATATATACATATGAGTCTAAAAGATTGTGTAACAATACCGATCAATAGATGGAAAACAAACACTAAAAAGTGTTGAATATCATCGCACAAAGATGGAAAAACTGAACAGATGATATAAATTATACAATAATTGCAAATATTTCGGCTCAACAAATGGCCTTCCTCAGTGTTAAAAGTTTTAACAATACTGATATATAATGTATAAGGTGTAAACATAGATCAATAATAATACAGGTAAGTTTTGGTCGATTGATTTTAATCCAAAATCCTGAATATCATAATATAAACATTAGACTGTAAATTTAATTATTTCTTTCTACTGATTCCATCTGGATGGAGGACACCCAGTGTTTTTATCCAAAACTTCTCCCGATTCTCTTTTTGCCTATTTTGCCATGTACAATCCTGTTCGATCACAAGGATCTTCATGTCATCAAAATCTTTCAGATTGTGATCTGGTAACCTGAAGTCACTGCAAAACAACGTCTGGGGCAGCTCAAAGGACATTTGAAAAGAAGGGGATATAAACACAAAAACGTCAAAAATAGTTTTCGAAAAGCGGAATCAATCCCCAGAAGCAGTCTGCTAACTTACAAAGAAAAACAGAAAAGTAAAAGAATCCCATGTGTGCTCACCTACCATCCATGCCTGAGAAATAGTTTCAAGACCATTCGTGATCATTGGACAGCAATCGAGAAACATTCTAAGTTATCCAAAATCTTTCCTGAGCCTCCCATGATTGCCTTCAAACAACCTAACAGCCTGAGAAATATACTTGTCCGTGCTGACCTTTCCAAACCTAACCATACTGTAGGTAATTGCCAGCCTTGTGGGGATAAGCGCTGCAAATGTTGCAACCAATTGGGGCAATATGCGTAATAGATTCTCCATAGGCGGTAATGTTAACGTTTTCTTCTGTTGCTCAGGCCATATCGTAAACTTGGATATGTATGATGGCTCATTTTGAAGCTGAGACACTTGCACATGTGTGGTGCGATTTTCGGGGTGGCAAGTGTGATTCGTTTTCCCGTCAAGTGCCCAACCCCGAAAGATAGTGAAAAATGTCACTCTCCTCGGGAAATAATCACAAAATTCTGACCATAAAAATCATTAAAAAATATGTCCTTTGTAATTATTTGTTCAGGTTTATTTTTTTATACTTTTTTCACATCACATCAGCTCTATAAAACACCAGTCCTAGTTCATTTATGTCAATTTTTAAAATCACAGCTTCCACAATTGTATGGCGGACTAATTTTTTAATGAGAGTCATAAATCTGTGTTCCTCATCTCAAGGTCCATTAGGGATATTGACCCATATTAGATCAGCTAATGTCAGATTCCACTTATATTGCAGTTTGTATCCCTTAAGTACACATTTCTGAACAATTCTGTGAAGTTTTAGCCATATCTGAAATAAAATAAGCTCATTTTAATACTTTTAGGTAGCAATGTTTATAACTGTTCAATATCCTTTTTAAGGAAGAAAAAAACACAATAAGCATATGTTATAAATTTACATTTTAAACATTTGTTTTAACTTTTATTGGTATAACTGCAATTCATAAGCCTCTTCTACCTTACAGACTTTCTACAAATCCTCATTTTATGTTGATAAATCATGTAAATATAGTGTTTTTCACTTAAAAACTATCAGATTTAAGAAATTTTTCCACCCTGATAGTCTTGTTTTCTATTATATATTTTTTTTTATTGAATAAATATCTCTAATATATGTTCATTACTGTAACGATTAGTCACAGACCTTTCCAAAACTAGTCTTGTTTTCAAAATCCATCAAGGAATAAGAATTTTAGAGGTTTTTTTTGTATGTGTGTTGAAAGTGGGAAAAATGGGTTATTTCTTTGGTGAAGAGTACATTGTGACGCCATTGTTTTTGTGACGTCATTGCATTATGACATCATAATTTAGAGTTGTACACATCTTACAAAGTGTATTGACATTGAAACATACCACACACAGCATCATACATGCAAATTAACACACATGTATTGCATAAAAATTTATTTTTCCTATCATGCACACATTCATTGATACAACATACAAGGAAATAAAATAAAATAAAATCATGTCCATATTTACTTCCATTTGCAACTATTTCAGTTCTGTTAGCTTTTTATTTTACTTTAGATATCCTAATTTTATAATTTTGTAGTTTTTGTTTGATTTGTTTGGTTTTTATATTGAAGATTTCTTTTAAAGCATGCTTACTTTAGTTGGTTCATGTGGTTTGAATGTCCCAATTTCCTGACACAGTTAAAAATACATTTGTAAACAACAAGAGTTACTCCCCCTCCTATGTCAATGAAAGGTAAACACTCGCGAAACAAGCCGTAAAATGTGTTACCTCAGGTTAATATAAACATGCATGTTTGTTTCAGTGTCTTGGAGGGTGAGAGGGAGGGCTTTTATCCCATTTTCATTTTTTAGCAGTGTAAGAAACTTGTATTTGAGTAAATGATTCATGCATAGTGAAGTGTGGAATATGTCACCTCGGAGAGTTAAATTTTAGAATTAAAAATAGAACAAACCACAGTTTAAGATGCAACATGCAGTTAGGATATGTTGTGCCATGCAGTTCATGAGTGGTGCATTTTTGTGAAGTTACACAGACCTTACGGTGGTTATTTAAATCATGGGGCTCAAAAATTATATGGTCAGCATTAACACACAAGGCATTATGGCAGAGGTGCGAGGCATCTAAATTTCTATCAATGTCAATTGTTTTTAACTGTAACATTTTTGCCAAGCGTGCAACATTCATTTTTGTCCTTTTTTCATTTGGATAAGCCACATTTAGCATCCCTAGAATATAATTTCTTTTCCTTTGAATGACCCCTGTCCAGATTTTACATGACCCATTTTCTGCATCAATGCTATTTAACAACAAAAAATTAGTATATTTTTGATAAAAATCAAAAGTTTGGGAAGCCATTTTGTATTATTTTGATTAATTAGCACTAAAAGAGTGTAACTGACCTTGATTTCAGCAGCTATCATCCTAATTTGTGGTCACTGAGCCATGAAACACTCCATTACCTTTGAAATTCAAGGCCATAAATTGGGACAATATGCGTAAAAGATTCTCCATAGGCGGAAATGTTAACGTTTTCTTCTGTTGCTCAGGCCATATCGTAAACTTGGATATGTATGATGACTCATTTTGAAGCTGAGACACTTGCACATGTGTGGTGCGATTTTCGGGGTAGCAAGTGTGATTCGTTTTCCCGTCAAGTGCCCAACCCCGAAAGATAGTGAAAAATGTTACTCTCCTCAGGAAATAATCACAAAATTCTGACCATAAAAATCATTAAAAAATATGTCCCTTGTAATTATTTGTTCAGGTTTATTTTTTTATACTTTTTTTCACATCACATCAGCTCTATAAAACACCAGTCCTAGTTCATTTATGTCAATTTTTAAAATCACAGTTTCCACAATTGTATGGCGGACTAATTTTTTAATGAGAGTCATAAATCTGTGTTCCTCATCTCAAGATCCATTAGGGATATTGACCCAATTGCAGCATTCATCAACATTTCACAGTAAGACCACAGAAAAGACATACAAGATCTTCTGCAATGTCAACTGCAAAAGCTCAAACGTGATTTACGTTCTTGAGTGTCCTATATGTGGTCTCCAATATGTTGGTGAATCCATGCAGCCATTTCAAAAGCGCCTTAATGGCCACAGGAGTGACCTCACAAGAAAACCGTATATTCCTGTCAGCCAACACTTCAGGTTACCAGATCACAATCTGAAAGATTTTGATCACATGAAGATCCTTGTGATCGAATAGGATTGTACATGGCAAAATAGGCAAAGAGAGAATCGGGAGAAGTTTTGGATAAAAACACTGGGTGTCCTCCATCCAGATGGAATCAATAGAAAGAAATAATTAAATTTACAGTCTAATGTTTATATTATGATATTCAGGATTTTGGATTAAAATCAATCGACCAAAACTTACCTGTATTATTATTGATCTATGTTTACACCTTATACATTATATATCAGTATTGTTAAAACTTTTAACACTGAGGAAGGCCATTTGTTGAGCCGAAATATTTGCAATTATTGTATAATTTATATCATCTGTTCAGTTTTTCCATCTTTGTGCGATGATATTCAACACTTTTTAGTGTTTTGTTTTCCATCTATTGATCGGTATTGTTACACAATCTTTTAGACTCATATAATTTTCCCTGTTTGTGTAGTATTGTCAATTTTGATGATCCAATACCTATTAAGTTTACTGGTTGGTATATTCTTATAGACTCTATATATATATACATATATATATATATATATATATATATTGACCTGTTAGTCAAAGGTGTTTTGTTAAAATATACTTTTTCACATTTTTGGTCTTTTTGAAAATGTTGTTTGTGCTGTATTTAGAACCCTATACAACAAATTTTGTTTTACATGCACATGTATAAAAATTGCGATTTTTATCCAACGCGATCATAGGGTTGAATGTTGTTTTCTATTTAGACTTGTTTATATTTATTTTATTTGGTCTTGAATTATATTTCCCCTCCGGTTTATATTATCCGTTCATCCTATTTCGACTCTTTAAAATTCAAGAGTCTATCCTAAATCGAGGTACATTATATGGCCTTCTAAATACCGTTTCGATTCCTTACTTCACTGAAGAGACAATAATTGTCGAAATCCGGATATTGTGTATACATTTAAGCACCTCATGTTTGTGGTTTACCACCTTTGCCGCAAGTTTATTGTTTTCTGTTTGATATTAAATTAATATAAATATCAATTTTGTTTCATTTTGTGATAATTTATTTGGCAATCGTTAATGGCAGTCAGCAGGGTTTAAGAACAGCAGTTATTCGACCTGTTAGTCAAATGCGTTTTGTTAAAATATACTTTTTCACTTTTTTTGGTCTTTTGGAAGATATTGTTTGTGCTGTATTTAGATCCCTCTACAACGAAATTTGTTTTACATGCACACGTATAAAAAGTGCGAATTTTATCCGACGCAATCATAGGTTTGAACGTTGTTATCAATTTTAACTTGTTTATATATATATATATATATATATAATATATATAAATATATATCGTTTTAGTATTAGGAGGTACATGTATTTGACGACAAGGTCAATCGTAACTTTTATTAACGGTTGATGAACATGTGTTAATGTGATGAGTACCCAATGTGTTCTAGTTCTGTATCAAACAGACGACACATAAACGGTTACAAAAAAAAAAGATAAACAAAGTGACATTTTTCCTCTTTCTATAGTGAGTTTTTGTAGAATGATAGCATGTGATTGTGCTATGGTAAATTCTTGCATTCTTGACTTTTATTTTTAATAAAGTGCTTTGATTACATGCCTTCTTGCGTTTCTGTGTTGACATATTTGTTTGTTTTATAGTGATTAAGATTATAACACAAAGTTACCTGCTGCAACCCAACTTTTGACATTTGTTTCGATTATGTCTGTTTATTTTTTCACACATTGTGGCAATATAATATAATTGTATGCGACTGTCATTCAAGTAAGACGTTTATCCATCTGTAAAACCAGATGAACTCACTATTTTTACATAAATGACTGTACTGAGTCAGGAATATGACAGTTGTTTTCCATTGGTTTGATGTGTTTTCGTTTTTGATTTTGCAATTTGATTAGGAACTTTTCGTTTTGAATTTTCTCGGAGTTTGGTATTTTTGTTATTTGACATCATACCTTTTATGATCTTTTGTCATCTTGTGTTGTTGACAATATTATATCATCATTATGATTCGACCATTCATACAGAAGTTATCGCGTAATGTTCATTTTTGTAGTATTGTAACTATAACAAAATGTTAAGGTAACAACTTTGAGACAGAGAAAGCTCTTGTTCTTGGTTCTTTTGTTTCCAATCATATGTTATTAACAAAATAATTCCGCTATTATATTGATTTAATATTTTTTACTAGAGTTCTTTTGTGAATGCATTTTTTCTTACACCTGTTACTCGTGTAAGCAAAGAATTTCCTATTTGTTGATGGAGGTAAAAAATAAAAAAGTTTAAATGCTAAATATCATAAATATTTTTTCTAGATATGTGTAGATCATATCACTACAAACTATTTTCTTTAAAGATGTATTCCTACATTTTCAAGGAAACACAGCAAAAATACATAAGAAATAGTGGATATACTTATTTACAATAAATGAATGAATATAAACCATCTAATGGTATGTGAATAAATCATAACAATCCAATAGTTGTCCAATGGGAGATAGAGGAGTGTTGTTCTGAAGGTGGTTGGTGTTAGATTGTTGAAATTTCGTATTATAGTGGTATTGGAATATAGATGACTGAACTTAGATAGCTATCCCTATGTTTATTAGAAGTGGATATATAATAGTAAAAGATATACACGACGATTTGGCAAAAAACTACGACACTTTATCATGTTTATTGAATAGTTAGCCATCGTGTGTAATTGGCTATATTATACCGTTAACAAACTTATCTGAGCGGCACTGGTGAGTCTGTAGACGAAAAGCACGTATGGTGTATTAAATTATAAGCTTGGTACCTTTTGATAACTATTAACATGTTGAAATGTCCTATTGTAATGTTTATTTGTGTGTTTATCTGTCCTGAATATTCTTGCATTTGTTTGCACTGTAGTCCTGTGATGTAATGTTGTCATTTTAGTGTTATATTTAACATTGCCATAAAAGCAAGAGGTTTGGCTAGCCGCAAAACCAGGTTCAACACACCATTTTTTTCTTAAAAATGTCCTGTACCAAGTCAAGAAAATGGCATTTGTTATCTTATAGTTCGTTTCTGTGTACGTTGCATTGTCGTTTTTTTTTTTGGTTTTTTTTGTTTCACTTCAGTGTTTCTGTTGTTTTGTTGTTTTCCTCTTATTACCTCAGTTTGTAACCCGGATTTGTTTTCTCTCAATCGATTTATGACTTTCGAACAACGGTATACTACTGTTGCCTTTATTGTATCGTAGATCTTTATACAAATACTATATATATATTGTGTACGTGTGTTTTTTTTTTTTACAAAAGACTGTTGTATTTCATATATTTTTTCACAATGTCCTACGAGTTATATACTTTTACCATATTTTAACTTAATGACACATTGTAACACACAATTTAATTTATTGTGTGTACAACACCGGGATATTTTTCTACGGCATAATACTCTTGTTTGTAATAAATTGCCAATATATTTACGTCTTTCAGTTCATCGTCAAAATAATGCTTTCAACATGTTCGATGAAAAGGGAAATATAATCCTGGAATGTAACCAA